ACTCTTTCCAAGAGATTGGCGTCTCTTCTAAGCATTGCGGGTGCGATGATCTTATGCACTTCAGGGTGTGGTCTGACGTATGTTTTGTACAACCTTAGAAAGGGCTCAGGAGTGAGTTCACCTAACTGTCTATGTGTAAAGTGTATGACCACATATGCCCTCGCTACATCCCCCGTGTAATTCACGCTTGTGTCCGTTTTCTCCGTTAGAACTAAACCTAAGTCACGTTCCGACGTTGTGCGTGACAAGCTTTCATTGCACAGGGTGTAACTTGTATTCTGCAGTCTACAGGTGCGTAACTTCACTACTTTGTACTTTTTCAGGTTGAAAGTCATGCCACTGGCCACCGCCTAGTCTTCTAGACGGTTTAGATCTTCCTGTAGCCTATCTGAGTCCTCCGGGCACTTTTTCGCCCTCCATATCTTCACGTCATCAGCGTATAGAAGAGTCGGGCAGCTCAGGCGGCATGGTAGATCATTGATAAAAATCAAAAACATCAGTGGTCCTAGAATAGAACCCTGCGACACTCCTGATGACGAGGTATGCCAAGATGGTCGGACTCGATTGACCTTAGTGCAAAATTGCTTTTCAGCTAGGTAGTCCTTTAACCATGACAGAAGTGGCTTACCTATACCTACCTGGCTTTTTTTGTAGGAGAAGGTCACGGTGAACAGTGTCGAATGCCTTCTCAAAGTCTAGGAAGACCACATGGACTGGAACATTCATATCCCAGCATGATGTCCAATCTTCCCAGGCTGAAAGTAGGTTAGTAACACAGGATCTGCCTTTCCCGAAACCGTGTTGGGCCTCATGGAGTATAGTAGACCTATAGAGATATTCCCTAATGTGATCTTCAATACTTTCCAGTACTTCTGATACCACTGGGAGTAGAGCTACTGGTCTATAACTAGTAAGATTTTGCCTATCCCCACCCTTGAAGATCGGAGAAAGGATGCTTCTTTTCCATTCCCTTGGCAGTTTCCCCGATTCCATGGAGTGTTGGTACAAGTCGCATAAGGGCCTACAAAGAGCTTCCGCGCACTGTTTCAGAACAGATGGCCTGATGTCGTCACAACCTGGGGACCTCCCAGGTGTGAGTCGCTGCAGCTTTCTTAGTACTATTGCAGGGTTTATTTGGGTAGTGGCCATTTGGTCTTCCTCCTGTGAAATAGTGGTGCAACCATTTTGGTCCATAACGGTAATACCCACATTGCTGTTTAGCTGTTTGGCGAAGGCTAAACTGAATGTTTCAGCCATCTCCAGACTAGTGAGATATTGACCGTTTGGGCCTACTAAGGTGCGTGCCCCCTGGCTGGTTGGTTTTCTTTCCGACATGAATCGGTACAAGTTTTGGGGTTTGCTAGGAGTTTTTAGCAAGGTTAGCCTGGAATGACCTCCTGTCCCTCCTGACTCTTGCATTGCACCGGTTCCTGAGTTCCAGGTATGCATCATGGTCGATCTGACTCTTAGATACGCGTCACGTAAACCAAGCCTTCCGCTTTGCTTGCAGAATACGTTGCGTGCCTCTCTTTAACCATGATGACTTTCTTTTGGGCTGTGTTGTGACTAAAGGGATGGTATCCGAGATTACTGTATGAATAACCTCCCAGTGTTCATCCACAGATAGCTAAAGGCCAGTCTGCGTCGGACAAGAGACTCCGCATTTCAGCATGGTCAGCCTTGCTATAACACAGGCATGGTCGCGTAATGTCCCACTGCAAGTGCTCACGGAGAACGAGATGGAAACCTACGACTGCATGGTTACTACTTCCTAGAGGAGTCATGATCTGGACCTTTTCGACGAGTAGTTGGTCACTAGTTAAAATGTAGTCTAGTTTTGATGACTTTCCACTAGGGCCCCACCTAGTGTCGTCTCCAACATTCTCAGTCTGCCCCATGTTTCGAATAGTCTGCAGTAGATTTCGGCCGAACTTTCCCTTAGCATACCCCGAGCCAAGGTTCAGTGATGGGGCATTGAAATCTCCAGCAATGGTGATTTGGTCATAGCCCAAGTCTCGTATCCCTGTGGTAGTGCTGAGCAGTAGCTGATTGTGCTCTGCCCCACAGGTGGGAGATCGGTAGATGCAACCAAGTAAATGCTTGGTGTGGCCTGCGATGAAAGGACACCATACGGAGTCTGGGAGTTCAATAAGTGGTGGGTCCGTTGCGCGCACACATTTAAGTTGCCCATCATAGTATATGGCAACTCCCCCTCCTTCCTTATTACCCTGTCTCTCCTGACCAAAACCATATCACCTATACCGATTTCATTATCGGCGATAGTGGGGGTTAGCCATGTTTCGGTGAGAATGATCATTTTCAGTTGCAGGTGTGCTTGGAGATCTCGGAGCTCACCTGTTTTTCCCCTCTGCCCCCTCACATTGCTATATAGGCAGCTGACAGTGAGTCTTACAACCTCAGCGTGTTGTGGGGTAGTTGACGTGAAGCTGTCCGCTGATAGGGGACTTAATGTTGGGACTAGTTGGCCGATTCCGATGGAACCGGCCCGTTGTGGTTTTTTCCATGGATTTAGGCAGGACACTTGGGTGACACGGACTGATATTCTCAGAACTGCATCGCTCTAGTGTCACTGAAGCTTGGGGAAGTATTAAAGCCTCAGTTTGCTGCCTCCTTATGGTTCAAGTTCTGCTTTCACAGCATCGGATGTGTCCTCCCATTTTCCTCTTGATCTCATGCCACCGTTGAAGTGCTATGGCAAACTGCTCTGGGGAGTTGAATGTGACACTTAGCAGCTTTGGAGAGCTAATCAGTGTGAGATTAGCGGGGCGAGGTAGTCGGGAAATGGAGATGGCTCCAGAAAAGCCATCTGAGACGACAGCCATCTCCACTGCTGTACGTCATGCATGTGTTTTTCACAAGCAGTGCCCGTTTACGGCTCCGGAACTTCATGTACCACCATAGAGGTAGAAGGCATCAGTTCTGGTGACTCCCTAGTCATTTGTCTAATAGCCCATGGTCTGTCTTGTCTCACCCTTACGTTCGAAATTCTGTCGATGGCTAGTACCTGAGCCATCAATAGTACCTTTTCGGCCTCTTCGGCCGAGTCCAGTGCAACCCGTAATGGGGGTGGCTTACCTTGAGGCGTGTGGACACCCCTGTACAGCCTGCACAATTTCACTGAATTAGTGTTCAAACCTACTTTATTACACAGGTTGGACCACTGTTCCTGATCAAACAGGGCCCGCTGTTCAAGCAAGCTGTCCTTGCTCACGGGTACGTTAGAGAGGATGAGAGAATTAGACCGATTAACCTCAGACTTAGGTTTGACCTTCGGCTTCTTGTATTCCTTTGCTGCATCAGCAACTTTAGGCTTCATCAGGTTCTAGCCAGCCTTTGTTGTGTTGCCAAGCTTGCTTGTGGATGCAAGTGGTACTTTTCTAATTCTCTCTTCCTTTGATTTTGTGGGTCCAACCTTTTGAATCTTCACCTTATGAAAATTGGCATTTTCAGTCAGTAGGATTGGAGTGTCCTTCTTAATATCTGTGCCAAGTTTTGGCAGTGTGGTTTTGGCATGTGGGGAGCTGCATAAGACTTTGCTGGGACAGAAGAGCGACTTGTTGTTTCTGCTATCCGCAGACACGCTCTGTGGGACTATGCCAGGGCGAAAAAGTGGACAGATGTACCAAAACCACGGGCATGGGTTATTTCTCATAAACTCGTAGTATGCTTTCGGCACCTCTTTGTCACAAAGGCAGTGCACCCACCATTTGCAAAAATTGCATTCAAACGCTGAGTCAGCTTTGGAAACTATGATACTGCACGCCTGGCATTCGTCTCCCTTACTTGATGAAGCCTTCGAGGTCTTATGACGTCTTGAGCATTTCCTTTTAGGTTTGCTGTGTTTCACACACTGGCTTTCAGTTGATGCAGGTGTAGTATCCTGTCCCCCTAGTATTGCCTGTGCCGTTTCAGTACTAGACTGTGGCAATGCAGGCGTAGTTTCGGGACAGACGAGACCTACACGAGTCTTTAGGATCGGTATGCGACATAGGGTTGATGTGCCTGGGTTTTTGCCTTCTCTGACTGAAGCATTTGTGACTACAGAGTAAGGTGTTTTAGTGCCATTTCTAAGGCTACTTTCGACAGCCATATTAACGACCTCTAAAACTTATGCTATATAAGAATAAGAGTGCAACAGTATCTACCCGCAAGAACAAAAATAACACTGAAAGTACAAGTCAAATGAAAGAAAAGGTTTTCGACTTTACCTAGTACTTTCTGGATGATCGGCTTCACCGCAATCACGTGGTAGACCAACAAGTCATGTTTATCTGAACGAGTGAGGAAGATGCTACTACAAAAGGAGCACCTGAAGCTTTGGCAGTAGTTCGAGACAGCTGGACTTACCACACAGAGATTCAACATGTAAGTAATGGTTGAATTTAATTCACCGGCCAGGAAGATTAGGTTTCCCAAGCGGATAATTCACAAAATAAATATTTTCTGGTTAGAGAGGAAAAAGCACGTCGTATCCAAAGAGCGCGCGCCGTATTTAGGGAATGATGTAGCAGACTAAGTCTGTCCTCCTATTCGAACAGTTAACAGAGAGCGGATTCAGTCATGAAGATCAAAATTTCGAGCGAGGACCACGTAGCTGACCGAGACGTTTTGTTTAGCTCTTTGGCAATTTATTTCGCATATATTCGATTTCGTCCTTGAGCCTACCTACCACTGATGGTAATGGGGAATTGTTTCTTATTCCAGCCCCACGTCAAGTAGCTTTTGTTTTGTCGTGTTGTTCAGTTTTCTTGTTACAAATCAGGAAGTAGCTAAGTAATGTTAATTTCTGTCTTCTGAGGATTTTCATATATGCTACCCAGCATACATCCAGGCCCAGTCGGTTAATGCACGTGGGCAATGCGGGCAAAACATGGGATAAACGGGTAATTTTGATCGGCAAAAAGGTGGGCAAAAGATGGTGTAAATGCAACCAATTTTACCCACTTTGCCCACATAACCCATTTCCCCGTTTGCCACACACAAGTGTGTGAGCCATACTATTTTGGCTTCAGTACATTTTCTTACTTCATTTTTTATGTGCACTTGCGAAATGTGGTGATTTGAAATGATGTACTTTTGTGCAAACCTCTACGTTAGTAATTCACTTCAATATGAGGCAGTCTACATATTTCTCAAGTCAAGTAGTTATATCCCTTAAGGTCACAGGGATTGTAGGTTGGATTTCAGAAACTTATTGTGATAGCTACTTCCGAACGTTAGCTCTGAACAGGCGAATTCATTTGAACTTAAGCGTTCAAGTTGTAAAGAGAGTTTTGTCAGTGTGTCCGTCGTAACAGATATAGGTACGTATTGCAAGAAAGTTGGTGGTATGGTCAAAACCTTGTAACCTTATTAGCATTATTATGATGTATTTTGGGATAAAATTTAACGCTGTGTTTTAATCTGACTTCAAATCATATGGCTGTCAATGTTTTGACACTCTGCGATATCATCTAGTCAAAGAAGAAGGGTCTCAGTCTTGATGAAAAGCGCCAGAGGATGCTAGATTTCTTTTATGAGAAAGTAAGTGATAAAACGTCTCGAAAAAAATTGTTCAACCTAGAAAGATTTCTTTCAGCTGAAAGAATTAGAGAGGCTTTGTCAAAAAGAAAAAGGAATTAACTCTATGTCTGTGAAAGATGTTTTAATGAGTCTTGTTCACGATGGCTTAGTTGATACTGAAAAGATAGGAACCAGTGTTTACTTTTGGTCATTTCCCAGCAAAGCTGCACAAAAGGTGAGTTGTGTTTTTGCCGTCAATGTTACTCTAATTTCAGCTTAAAATTAGTATCGAGAAGTTAAAGGAAAATATAGAAACTACACGCAACCAACTTTCAAAAACAATGAAAGCACTGGATGAAGCTTCAAGCAAAAGAGAAGATACAGTAAACATTAACAGTTTTATAGATTCAAATCTTATGTAGGAAGAGAGGAGACAAGTTATTAATGAGCTCGTTGAGAAGAAAGGGTTACTTGAATCTCTTAGTGTAGAGCTTCAGGACCTAAGGCGATATGACCCTGATCGCTTACAAGAACTAAAACAGCAACAGCTTACAGCACTGGATGCTGCTAATCGTTGGACAGGTGGGCATAAATTACATCCTGTTTTGTTAGACATTAAAATGATCAGTTACCTCCAATAATATGAGTATTTTACTGTGACCTCATTGTTTTCAAGATGTTAATATTTTATGGAAGGTGTTAATTAAATCCACTAAAATATTTAACGCCATTAATTCAAATGTTCATAAACATTTGAGTGAATTTATTTACTAGTGCTGTTTACATTACTTAGTTTCACTTTATTGTTATTCCAAGAAACCGTTGGAGATGACACCCTACATATTTATACATACATTGTTGACCATAATTTTCTTCCGAAATTCACTGATATATAGTTATTACAACTGCATAAGTAAACCCGCTGATATATTGAATTTATAACACGCTAAGTAATATTTTGGTAGGAAGAGGTTCTTTATAAAGCACTTACAAGGATTTCTAATTTTGAGTCTGTCATGGGAAAATAAACTTATCTGAGTTTTTACCAGTTTAGATTAAAATGCAAATACGGTCTAACCCATATATAATCGTTTAAAGTGTTTGTACTATTCATAAGTCATTTTCAAATGATCATTTAAAAAGATTTTTTTATATAGCTTGACTCCATACCGTATTTTTGGTACATGTATGGAATTTTCAGCATATGATATAGGTAGCCCAAATTTCGCAGGCCGACCATTGATATCGGGTGTGCGTCGGCCGGGGATCGAACCCCAGACCATGTGCATAGTTGGCGAGCGTGCCACTCACGCACATCGGATGAATGTCAAAAATTATGGGATGAGAACTGATAAAAATGTTGCGAAATATGCTCAAAGCTCCATGACTGAATGTGATGGTGGCTTGTAAATTGTTGCATGACAACAGTTATATTTTAAGCAATATGCTTGTGAAATAAAACAAAATGTATAGAATAAAAACAGTTACCCACATTTTGTAGCGAAAATGATAATACTATGGGTTTTACCTGTATATTCTCTGGTGTTTGATTGTGATGCTAATTACACAGACTAGTGGTAATTAATGTCGATGATCAATATAATATTTGTCGTTGTTGTTCAACAGATAAGTAATCAGGACCCGAATTAGACCAACACTTGTTTAGTATTAGCTAAAATCGCACAGCCTCCTCTATCCAAACTGCTTAAATTTGACTATATACAGAGTCTTTACGTTGAATTTTACTTAGTATGATTCAAACACTTACTTAAATTGTATTTGAGTTCTTTTCTGGACAACTAAAAGCTATGACCATAAAATTCATCTGCTTGAACTTAAAATCAGCTTTCACTTCTCGACTGCTCTTTGCAATCATTTAATGATGTCAACATGTCCTTATTACTTCCAATCAACCCGTATAACATTTACGGACACTAGTCCAGCGTTCAACAATCGATGTTTTGATACCAACCAACACTGAATATGTTGGTATGTGTTGGGGGTTCTAGTTATAGTGAAGACCACTATGGCATAAGTAGCCGAAAGACAACATGAAATTCCCGGACAGTGATAATTTTGGGTTGTTTATTACTTATAGCTTATATGCTTACAAACTCACTGATTGCTTTCTTTTTTATTCTTTTAACAGACAATATATTTGTGATCAAATCATGGTTGAATAACAAATTTTCAATTGACGAAGCTACTTTTTGTCGCCAGTTCGAAATACCTGAAAACTTTGATTATCTAACTTAGATACTAGACAATATATAAATGTATGTGTTAATATATGTTGTTTCGTCTATATATATGCTCTAGGAGTTGTGTTGATATCGACAGCATTGAAAGTCGTCTCGTTATATATAATACTACGTTACACCAGTCCCACTTCAACAGAGAGAATAGGCGATCATTATCCATCTGAATTATTATTATTACATATTATTGTTTCCTTTAGTTCCTAGAGGAACATAGGGCTTCAGCCGCACGTTTCCATTGCGTTCGGTTCTCTGCTAGAGTCTTCACCTGGCTCCATGTCTGCCCACACGTTTTCATCTCCTCTTCACATGACCTCCTCCATATAACCCTCGCACTGACGACCAATCGCCGCTTCCCATTCTCTCGGGTTCCACTCGAGCAATGGCTTGTCTAGTGATGTCACTTGATGGCTTTCTCAGAGTATGGCGAATCCACCTCCATTTCTTCCTGCATATTTGTTGCACAATCGGTTCCTGGTTGGTTCGCTCCCAGAGATCCCTGTTATTGGTATTTTCTGGCCATCTGATCTTGAGTATTGAGCGAAAACAGCTGTTAATGAAGGTCTGTAGTTTGTTTGAGGTGCTCTTTATGACGCGCAGTGCAAGTCTCTGATCCGTATAGTAGCACTGACTTCACATTGGAGTTGAAAATCCGCATCCTATTTTTGATGCTGAGTGCTGTTGACCTTCAAACAGATTTGAGAGTAATGAAAGTTTCCTTGCTTTCCTGATCCTCGCTACTTTGATATCCTCGTCAGTTCCAACCGTCTGTAGTTGAAACGATGCTTCGCAGGTAGCTGGTAGGTGAAGGAGTTTGCTTCTTTCAGATTCCTCCCATTTATGCTGATTGTTGTCTGTTGCTGTTAGCCAGGAATCTTCATCACCTCTTTTTTCTCTATGTTCACCTAAAGTCCTATTTTCTCTGGATGCTTCTTCTTTCGCCAACTTGTTACTTTTCACTTGCATATCTTCCGGTTTTTGGAAAATCAGACATATATCATCGACGAAGTCCAGATCCCCCCATTCCTTTTTTGTGTGGGCCCATTTTATGCCTGTTTCTTTGCTGCCGCTGTCTGTCACATTATCCAGTCTACCGCAATCAGGAAAATCATTGGCGATAGTAGGCAGTCAGTTTGTCTTACTCCCATCTTCACTTCGAAGGATTCTGTGAGTTTACCGTTGTGGATTACTTGGCAATCCATTTGAATACGCTAAATATATTTTCAAGAAAAGTTCATTTGATGTTAATGCATTATTTTACAAACGCCACTGATTGGCGTAGAATCGTTGATGAGGATCAAATGGGAAATTAATGTATTTCTGTCCTCAGTTTGTGAACTTTTAAATATACTACTTATGGCTCAGCAGTGTATCTTTTAAATTTGGATACTTAAACGAGTGAAGGTACTTTCGGTAGCGTATTTTAGTTGACTAGACTGCCAGCATAAATCATTGATGTAGAGATACAGTGTTTCATAAGGGATGTAGGTTTTTTTTGTAAAGTAATATAACAACTGATTTAATTCGAAACAGTTTTCAAATGTGGAAACCACCCCCCCACCAAGTAATAAAATATTATCACGTATGATTTAATCAAAGTATTTATGTTTTGCATCTCAGTACTGAAGGCCATAAGCTATAATGTAAAATGAGGATAAAACCAGCACTGAAATACCTTGCAGTTTTGCAATATTAAGTCCTAGTACCATGTAAGATCGGCCAACTATAGTTATAGTATTTGTGAAACTTCAAAACCTGAACTGTCAGTCTACTGAATGTCACATTATATCTGTGCTATCAACAACAGCTTTGTATGATGCGATAATACACAAATTGGATATTTTAATTGCGGTTTAATCAGTACAAACTTCAGATATTAGGTTTAAGGTATTTAAGTAAATAATCGAAATGTATAGTGCAAGAATACTGACGAAAAGCAAGACACAGTACTCATAAGATTATGAATTATGTTGTTTACTAAAGGGTTCGTCGCGATTGACACCAATTTGCATCTATATCGGTTGTGCAACAGTTAGACACTTGAGATCTTGTAAATTCCTATTTTCTATTGGCATTAATTATAACCATTCCGATAAACGAGGCCAATTATTCAGCATCCGAGCTAACTGTTAATAATATAATAGGCGGAAAAAGTGTTGGTGTCAACTGATAACACGTTTATTCGTAAAGCTTATCTGCTGAATTCTTAAAGACATTAGCAACTTCGTCCGTCCACACCATTTGTGAATTAGTTAAGAAGTTGTTGATAAGGTGTGACCATTTGAGACAGATTCTTTCAGCAAAACGTCTGTTTGAAATTGAGTAATCATTGTTTTGGTAACATGGAGAGAGGGAGAAAGAAGAAGTATCTTGTTTATGATCAGAAAAAGACGAATTAGTCAGGTTTTTGTTGTACGCACCAGTGTAGAAAATGCGTGAGAGAACTGTGAAAGATTATAACTGCTATGATAATAATAATAATTAACATCATATGAAGAATTCAACCTAATGCAGGGGTTCCTGATTTACTAAAATATTGTTGATTATATCAGGTTGTTCTTCTAATACTGTAATGTTCATTTAGCCACCTGAATTGTTCAACTGGGACAGAGGCGCGTTTAACTTATTTATTTGGGAGGATAAATCCATCGTCTTATCATTATCATTCAGCTGTGTAAGCGACTTAACCGACTGATTATAGCTAGATGATAACAAAGGATTTAGTGATTTCCCATTACTGATGTTCACATAATACATGTTAATAGAATGTGTATCCTGAGGAATGTTTTGGGTGATGCATCTGATGTATTGGGAAGGATATTTGGATGGAGATTATTTCTCGTATTTTCAAGTATTGGTCTTGTAGGGATTTTGTTTGATTGGTTGGAAGATTTCATCATGAGCTGACCTCAGTTAGAGAACCATTGGAAAACCAGCTGGGAGTACTGGACAGCTATTTCGTCCTAGTTTGGGACTCCTCATCAGTACGCACCACCGGGATTCGAACCCAGGACCTTCTGGTTACAAGGCAAGCTAGTAGACCATTAAGCCACTGGGACCCGATCCAATGGACATCCAGTTCTAAGTACGGTAAATGTGTCACCTATATACCTCCACCACACTTTTGCGGTGGAGCTGAACGTTTCAATCGCTAAGTTTTCCCACCTATCCATGAGTGCATCTGCCACAATCGAGGATATTGGTGACCCCATGGCAACTCTCTCAGTTTATTTGTATGTTTTTCCTTGGAATTTGAATACTGTGGAAGTCAGACATAGCTGTATATAAACTGACAATGCCAAAACTAACCGTTTTTTTCCTCACTATCTAATTTTAAACTATCTGATCTCTGTTTTTATTCATAAAAATTTGTTAGCCCAGAGTTTGAGTGGCTTCTAAGAGGATTTAATACCATAGCTAAATATTTAGACAATTCATAAGTAGGTGAATTTCTAAAATCAACTATAGGTCTAATAGGGTATCCTGACTTAAGAACTTTAACAGCACCATACATCCTACTGGGGTTATTAGTTTTCGGCATTAAATTAAACCATATAGATTTATGGCGTACTGAAGATAATTCCGATTACTGTGCTATAGTACATATACGTTTTCAAGTTCTAATATGCGCTAATGCTATACATGGTCAACGACGAACAACGCTGTATTAAGAAACACGAGCGAAAACTTGAAGAGATGTGTTGTTAACGAAATCGAATTTCAAAATGCGCGAGGTGAAAGAAAAAGTGCGTAACCGTTTAAAAAATATGTATATTAAACGAAAAGCAATATTCACCAATACAATGGCAAACATTCAACAAACATAAGTAAAATTAGTTTCTGTAAGCATATAACATGCGTACAGGAATTAGTTTCATAAGTGCACAGTTAGGCGTAATATACAGGTGCTACAGACTCACCTAGAAACGGCTTCATTCGGCGTGTAAGGTACGCTGTGAATTTCTTAATCTTATTCATAACGGTGTCTTTTGATTTCTTTATTTCTTCATATGGTCCGGTTTGTATGTGAGTATTCAGCTTGTCCAAACAGTCTGATTTGTCTAATATTACTGTTGCGTTTCTTTTTTCTGACCTTGTGATAACTATAGCCTTGTTATTCTTAAAGCGTTTTAGGGCTTCCATCTCTGGTTTTGTCAAGTTAGGCTTTCCTCGTTTTTGTCGTTTTAATGTCAGTGCACATTGCGCCCGTACTTCGTTTTGTCTATCCCACTTAGTGCTATTTGTATTTTAGGGATGACATCCTCAGGTTTCAGCTTGTCTACCACTACAGTGAAATTTAGCCCCTTTTGGTAATACACTTATTTCTATGTGACTTAACACTGGTGTTGAGAGATTGATAACCCACTCTGTTTTATCGATCGCCGTTGACTTCAGATGGCTGATCTTATCGTCCTCAAATGAAGACTTCCCCTTCAGTAATTTATTGAACTTTTTGATTTGAGTATTCTTTGACTTTTTGAATGCTACTGATTCGGCATTGCTAGAGGACTCTATTATAAGATCGTAATCCTCGCTGGAAACTGTTTCCACTAGTTTTCGCCTTAACTGCTCGATTTCATTTCTGATATGGTGCAAATTTTTAAAAATTTTGTGGATCTCATCTTTTAGCAATAATTTTTTAGACTTTCTATTCTGGTTCTGTCTGTTGCGAATGGAGCTCGTAGACGTAGGTATTTAGGAGTGATTTCATTTTTCAGGCAACGAATATTGAAAACGCGATGATTTTCATATCTTGCTTCAGTTTGCGAAAGTTGCGTGAGTTTATTGATTAGTCTTCGAACAGGAAGATCATAAGTGATATTAATATTTGTGTAAGACTTGGACACTGTGGTAGTATGTAATTCCATATTAATTTGTTTATTAGATATATAACACGCAGTGTGAAACAGTATTGTTTACGGGATGACGTTTCGGACACAATTTATAGTTCGCAATCATATCAATTATAATCACACAACTTCGAAACTTTTGCTCTATAGTTTCCTTACTTCTTGGCTATTTGTCATAGGAGTAGCTGAATTTTCCCAATTTCGAATCAACCCAGGACCTGGGTTC